GCAGCTATACTGGGAACCTCGCCAGGGGTCCAGAGCCTGCTTTGCAGACAGCGGTGGGCATTCAGTGGCAACAAAAGAGCCCACTAGCTTTTTAGTTTTTGTTTACGTGTCTGAAATCTATTTTGAAATTTTAATTTAAAAATTAACAGTAGAATTGACTTTATGTTTGGCATAAAGTTCCATGAATGTTAATACATGTATTGATCTGAGTGACCCCACTAAAATAAGGAACAGCTGCATCATCCTCAAACCTCCCTCCTCCCATCCCTTTGGAGTCACAACCTCCCCCCACCCCGAAACCCCTAGGCAACTGCTGATCAATTCTCCATCACTATGGTTTTTATCTTTTCGAGAATGTTATCTAAATAGAACCACACAGTATGTATCCCTTGGAGCTTGACTTCTTCGGTTCGGCATAATTTCCTGGAGGTTTCATCCAAGCTGTTGCACACATCAGTAGTGTGTTGCTTTTTACTGCTGAGAAGTATCACAGTTGATTTACCCGTTCACCCATTCAGGGCATTGGAGTTGTTTCCAGTTTGGGCTGATTATTAAAAAAACTGCTATAAGCATGCACGTACCATTATTTGTGGGAACATAAGTTTTAGTTTCTCCCCTAGTATAATTTTCATACTTTATTATGAGTAAGCTTAGGGATATTTTCGTACATTTAAGAGACATTTATATTTCCTTTTCTGTTATCTGCTCATTTCTTTTATCCATTTTTCTTTTTGGTGGTTGTTGATTTTTATTTTAGAAAACTTGGTTTAAGGGAGATGACAGGACATCCAGATGGAAATGTTTAGCATTCAATTAAAAAATGTGGGCCTCAATTTTGAGAGAGAGGCTCAAAGATGTGGATTTGAGAGGCACACTGATAGGGAATGGAGAGACGAAGCCAGGGAGCTATGTGAACTCGAGAGAAACATGCAAGGCTTGAAGACAGAATCTGTACAAATGCCCATGTTTAGGATGTGGAAAGAGGAAGAGGTAAAGGAAGAAATCGAGAAAGAACTTCTTAGAGGTCACAGAAGATTCGGGCTATTTTAGGGTAACATTAATAAAAGCTGAATTTTAAAGGTCTGATAAGTAAAGGGTTTAAATCCCAGAGCACAACGTCAAGAGAGAAACAGAGCATCTGTCTCCAAGAATTCCAAATAACAGGCCTACAGTTCATCCTGATTGTTGTAGCAAGGTCACAAGATTACCCCTGCACTATTCATTATGAAAGGAATTCAGTGCGTTGATTGGCCTACCTATGTCATGTGCTTCGACTCCATAATTTCCTGGAACCTCATGGATTCCGGGGCTGTTGGAAGACTTAGATGCTGAAGAAACAGCCAATGAATGTCCAGTGAGTGGCCTTTGAGAGTGGCGTATCATCTGAGTGCAGGAGCTTAGAAGCAGCTGCACATCAAGTTGAGAGACTGGAGGCAACATGTGTAGAAAACTCAAAGAGTTTGGCTCAATTTTGGTAACCAGGAAGCCTAAATGAAGGATTTGTTTTCCCCCAAATTAAGGCAATATCAGTGCATATTCATACACCCAAGAAAAGACACCACAGGGAGGGAGGCTGCAGAGATGGTGAAGCCTGAGGCGATAGTGGAGGGGAACTGAAGTGCGCACTGGTGAAGCCCTGGAGCCAGGTGCAGGCGGTGAGGACACTCAACTCTTCCTCTGAGGCAGTCAGTCTCTCTCGTCCACCCTCACTCCTTCCCATCCACTATCACTCTCCCCCATCCACTCTCACTTCCCCCAGACCCTCACTTCTCCCCTGACCACCCTCACTCCTCCCTCCCTTACTCCTCGCCTACCACCCTCACTCCTCCTCCATCCACCCTCTCTCCTCCCCATCACCCTCACTCCTCCCCCTCCCTCGTCCCCGTCTATCACCCCCTCCACTCCTGCCCATCAGCCTCACTCCTCCATCCACCTCCTCCTCCCATCCACCCTCACTCCTCCCATCCCCTCCTCCTCACCCCCATCCACCCTCGCCTCTCCTCCCTCCTCCCATCTATCACACCCTCATCCCTCGCCCATCCAGCCTCACTCCTTCTCATCACCCTCACTCCTCCCCATCCCACCTCCACTTCTGCCCATCCCACCTCACTCACCACCTCATCCACCCTCACTCTCCCTCCCTCACTCCTCGTCTATCACCCTCACTCCTGCATCCACCCTCACTCTCCTCCCTCCTCCTCGTCCTCTCACCCTCACTCCCTCACCCTCCACCCTCCTCCTCACCCATCTCCACCCTCACTCCCTCCCCCCATACCACCCTCCTCCTCACCATCCACCTCACTATCCTCACCTCACTCCTCCCTCATCCACCCTCACTCCTCCCTCCCTCACTCACATCTATCACCCTCACTCCTTGCCCATCCAGCCTCACTCCTCCCAAATGTCCACCCTCCTCCTCCCCATCCACCCTCACTTCTCACCCCATCCACCCTCCACTCCCTCCCTCCATCCACCCTCCATCCCTCCCCATCCACCTCATCCTCCCTCATCCACCCTCCTCCTCCCATCCCCCTCCTCCTCCCCATCCACCCCTCACTCCTCCCCATCCCCCTCCTCCTCCCCCATCCACCCCTCACTCCTCCCTCCCTCCCTCCTCGTCTATCACCCTCACTCCTCACCCATCCACCCTCACTCCTCCCCATCCACCCTCACTCCTCCCTCATCCACCCCCTCACTCCTCCTCATCACCCTCACTCCTCCCTCCTCACTCGTCTATCACACCCTCACTCCTGCCCATCCACCCTCACTCCTCCCCATCCACCCTCCCTCCTCCCATCCACCCTCACTCCTCCCCATCCACCCTCACTCTAACCATCCACCCTCACTCCTCCCATCCACCTCACTCATCCCTCATCCACCCTCACTCATCCTCATCACCTCACTCCTCCCTCCCTCACTCATCTCCCTATCCACCTCACTCCTCGCCCATCCACCCTCACTCCTCCCCCTTCCACCCTCACTCCTCCCCATCCACCCTCATCCTCCCCCATCACACCCCTCACTCCTCCCCATCCACCCTCCTCCTCCCCCATCCACCCTCCTCCTCCCATCCACCTCACTCCTCCCCCCATCCACCTCACTCCTCCCCCACTCCACCCTCTGCTCCTCCCATCCACCCTCCTCTATTCCATCCACCCTCTCCTCCCCATCCACTCTCTCCCCATCACCTTACTCCTCCCTACCTCCACCTCACTCCTCCCCCTCACTCTGCCCATCCACCCTCCACTCCTCCCCCTCACTCCTTCCCCATCCCACCCTCCTCCTCCCCCTTCACCCTCACTCCTTCCCCATCACCCTTGATTCCTCCCACATCTACCTGACTCCTCCTGACCCTGTCCACCCCCTCCCCACTGAGGTCAGACAATCTTTTAAAGTGAAAACCCCAGTCATCAGTGCTACAGTGAGAGCTACTTCAGGGCCTCAGGCTGCTCCCAGGATGTAGTACTCATGGCACTGGTTGAACTTTAGGGCCCTGTGTGAAATGGCTCCTGCCTGTGTTCCCTCTCTCCTCTCCAGCCCCGGGAGACCATCAGATCCTAGTCAACCTCTTTCCCTCTGAATAATGGTAACTCCTGTCTCTCTCCCTGACCCTGTCCACCCTCCCCACTGAGGTCAGACAATCTTTTTAAAGTGAAAACCCAGTCATGTTGCTACCCAGTGAGAGCTACTTCAGGGCCTCAGGCTGCTCCCAGGATGTAGTACTCATGGCACGGGTTGGACTTTAGGGCCCTGTGTGAAGTGGCTCCTGCCTGTGTTCACTCTCTCCTCTCCAGCCCCCAGGGACCATCAAGATCCCTAGTCAACCTCTTTCCCTCTGAAATAATGGTAACTCCCTGTCTCTTTACCAGACCATGAGGTCCAGGACAGGTGGGGATGGTGTGTGTTTGGTTCACCTGGATCCTCTAGCACTGTGCTTGGCAAACAGTAGGCACTCATACATGGCCACTGTATGAAGGATAGATGGATGGATACCCACTAATCTGTGAAACTTGCTGTTGCCTTAGTGATTATTTCTAAGATCTAATTCTCACCCATTGTTTATCCGAATCAGATGTCATTGTATCAGACACTAAACAAGAGAAATAAATAATGAAGTTATTAGAAAAAGCAAGACCAAGCCTTAGAATTCTATTATACATATAGGAAAAAAAGAATATATGGAAACATGCAAACTTAGGGAAAGTGCTTAACTCTAGGTATTGAAACTAAAAATCAATTAATTATATTGTGCAAAGAGAAGACTAAGGAAAGAGGGACATGTGGGACATCAAGGAGTTAAAGATATTTTAAGCAGGAAAGGAAGGGAGGAGGCAATGGAAGAAAGCAAGCTAGTGTTCTAGAGAATGGGATTAATTAAATAAAGCATGGTACAACTGCTCAATGAAATTGTATGCACACTGTTTGAAATCCTGTCTCTGAAGGCGGGGTAGTAGTGCCAAGGCTGATGCAGAAGAATTTTGGTGCTACCACATCCAAATGTCTCCTCAAACCACCCCAAAGGAACATGTCCTCTACATAACAATGATGTGCTTGCTGTGTACATTTGGCTCCCCCAGACGCCAGCCTCCCCCTTCAGCCAGCCTGCAGCCCAACCCCCACCTGCCAGGAAGGGATGGTGACACCTCCGTGAAGATGGTGACAGTATTTGTGATAGAAGTGTTACAATACTAGATTTATATAAGTTTGAAGGACAATGAGATTACAGTTATTCATTAAGAAAACAAATACAGAATTTATTCCAAAAGGTAAAAAAGGTGAAAGAAGATACGTAACATGAGTAGTATGGTTGCTGGGAGCATTTTTTCCCATTTTCACTTCAAATTTTTACAACTTTACACTTTCTTTGAACATGTACTGTAAAATAAAACAATGCAAAAATTGTGTTTTAAATATCAAACTAACCATATTTGACTCAAATTATACCTGTATACAAGGAAACACTCAATGGTTCACACTGTTCTTTTCTCTCCTTCCCAAAGGATGTGCTGGGTGGCGTCCTGATCACCGCACTCCTCATCGTCCTCACCTACCCTGCCTGGACCTTCATTGACCGCCTGGACTCAGCCAGCCCCCTCTTCCCCGTGTGTGTCATAGTTGTGCCGTTCTTCCTGTGTTACAATTACCCTGTTTCTGATTACTACAGCCCAACCCGGGCGGACACCACCACCATTCTGGCTGCTGGGGCTGGAGTGACCATAGGATTCTGGATCAACCATTCCTTCCAGCTTGTATCCCAGCCGGCTGAACCTCTCCCTGTCATTCAGAACATCCCACCGCTCACCACCGACATGTTCGTTTTGGGTCTGACCAAATTTGCAGTGGGAATTGTGTTGATCCTCTTGGTTCGTCAGCTTGTACAAAACCTCTCGCTGCAAGTGCTATACTCATGGTTCAAGGTGGTCACCAGGAACAAGGAGGCCAGGCGGAGACTGGAGATTGAAGTGCCTTACAAGTTTGTTACCTACACATCTGTTGGCATCTGCGCTACAACCTTTGTGCCAATGCTGCACAGGTTTCTGGGATTACCCTGAGTCTCAAACAGTTGGAAACTAGCCCACTGGACATGAGAGCCAAGACATAGGAAAGTTATTGGTAGGCAAATCTTGACAACTTATTTTTCTTTAACAAACAAACAAACAAAAGTCATACGGCTGTCTTGCTACTACCAGATAAATGATGCTGCTATGTGAAAGGAAAAACTCTCATAGCGGTCATCAGTCTGTAATGGTTATGCTACAGCTGAACCCAGGCTAAAATCCATAATCGAGATCTTTAAAGGCACACCCCCACCCCAGCCCCTGCTCCTCTTTCTGTTGCATGGACTTTGGACCTAGTCATGGGCTGGCAGGAATTGTAGCCTGGCTTAGGAATAGCTAGGAGCCCCACTGGGTTCAGGAGAGCCAACAGAGATGGGGTGATCTGGGAGGCTGGAGATAAAGCCTTTCTTTTCCATTACAACCTTGCCTAGCACGGTGTCTTATTTCCAAAATAGGAACCTTGGTCCAGGAGAAGGGGTGGCACCATATAAAAGTGCATTTCTCGGACAGGGTGACTTCCTTATCGTTTATTTGGTGTTTTTTTGTTTTGTTTTGTTTGAGACAGGATCTTGCTGTTTTCCAGGCTGTAGTATAGTGGCACAATCTCAGCTCACTGCAAAATCTGCCTCCCGGGCTCAAGCAATCCTCCTGCTTCAGCCTCCTGAGTAGCTGGGACTATAAGCATGGACCACCATGCCCAGCTAATTTTTGTAGAGACACGGTTTCGCCGTGTTGCCCAGGCATGTCTCAAACTCCTGGGCTTAAGTGATCCGCCCACCTCAGCCTCCCAAAGTGCTGGGATTATAGGCATGAGCCACTGTGCCCAGCCTCCTCCTTGTTATGATCAAATTAGACGTACTGGTTGGGTGGTAAGACCACTGTGAAAGAAAGCTCACTGTGAGACATGAAAGGCGGAGGCAGAGCTGTGAGGTCATGGGGAAAAGCCTGCTTTCCTTATGAGGCCTGGTGTTCATGCTGAAATAGGGATCTGCTCTTCCTTGTTTCCATGGATTTTGCAGGATTCCAGGTACCATTAACACACTCTTCTGACCCACGAAACAAAACTGGCTGCTCGCACCTCACCAAACAGGTTGGGGGTTAGCCTTCAGCACAGGTGGATACATCTGGGATTCACTGAGATTCTCACCCTTTCCTGCTTCCTAGTGGTTTGGGACAGGCCCTCTGCCCATTGTCAGCAGTGAGCAGTGTTTTGCTTTCGTACAAACCTGGAAGGCACTGGCATCTGCCTAGGAAAGTGGATCCGTAAAAGAACAGATGAACGCAACAAAGAAGGGATAGGCTTCCTTGACATTGCCTGGTCCTGACAAGGCCTCCCTGACATTACTCCTCCAATTTCACTGTTATCTTCTGTAAATCTATTTTCTCATCTACTGAATAGAATCAGGCTCCCTTTTTGTCTTCCCACCTCTTATCTCTTGGCAATTTTAAGGGTAATGAATGCAAGAACAACTTTAGTGTCTCTAGGGAAAAAAAGCCAACCAAATACAAAGCCCATTAAGTCTACTAGGGTGAGTCCTCTTAACATGGGAAGGCGATGATTATGCAAACACTAGAGTTCCCTCCTCTTCAGTTCCTGAGAATAAGGAACGGGTATCAAGAACTGTTTTTAAAGTTAGTGTAACTATCGTTAACAAAGTATCCATTGAGGTGTAGTGCCTGTAGGACTGAAGCCAGTGCTTTACCAACCCAACATATCATCACCATGTGCATACTCGGAAAAAATTAGCATCCTTAAAAGTTACAGAGGCTCTTAACGTGTTCAAACTGAAAAATCACATTTTTCTTTATTTCAAATATGTTCTACAGCTTTATGGTTGTGACGATATTTAGTATGTAACTTAGCGTTCCAATTTCTTAATAATTTTTAGCAAAACATCCTGTTTTTCCTTAAAATTCTTCTCACATTTATTATAGTTAGAAGGCAAAGATCAAGATGACCTGCCATTTGACTGCTTTTACATCCAATTCTGCCCAGTCTTTGCAGCACAACTCAGGGGAAGGGCCTTAGCTTGCAGGTACTCCCAGCCTGCATCTGCCCCTGCAGAGCAGTGGCTGTCAGCTGGATGAGGCACTTTTCTGTATTTCCATCCGCACGGCTGCCCAGCCAGAGTTCACAACACCGGATATCTACACAAAATAATTGTGGTTGACTTGTCTGAAGTCAACTGACAAAAGGATCAGCTTTTCCCACGTGTATCTCTTAAAAAGAGGGATTGTGATCATTGTCACAGCAGTGGGTGCTGGCATCTCATATATATGATATACATATCATATACATAATTTTTACTGCTGTCTCTATTTTTAAGTCCCAACAATAGGAAGGCCGATCAGCTATACTGATATATTTAAGGCTGTCCTTACCTAATTTGGGTTGAGGCTGACTATATCAGCCACAGCACATTAAAGAATGAGTCAACGATTTGTCATAGGTTGGTCACTTTTTAAGTATCTGATTACTGCAACTGGAGAATGAAAAGTATATGTTGGTGATGCCAACCTCAGTTTTTGAGCACTCCTGCTCTGTGGTGTAGAATCAGAAAAAAGTTGATCGGGGAAAAAAAAGGCATTACCTGATTCACACTCTTGCCTTGCTAGCCCTCTTCCATTCATTTCTCACACAGCACTTTGCTCTGTTAAATCCTCTCTCACTCTCGCACCATTGCATGCCCCTTCAAAGGGTATGGTTCAGTTCCTTTCAAGACATTTGGAGTTTCTCTCTGGGGAAGGAGCGCCCCCTACTGGTCTGGCTTCAGTCTAGGTCCACGGTCCCTCTCTTGATCTGGCGTCTTGAAGATTAATTTAAAAGGCAAGCTCATCACAATGTAAGCCTACGGTCTGGCCAAACTTGCTTTTGGGAACTGTGACACCAAAGCCCCCAGGATTATCTGCCCCTCCAGGAGTCAGACAGAATGACATGCCTTTATCCTAATTGTCCACATTCCACCCCAACCCACTGCCACTGTGGGCCAAGCCATCCATCTTGCAATCTTCATCTAAAACAGCTCTCATTTCATGCCAGTTTTGCTCAAACCTGCACCGTCACAATATATTCAGAAGATGAAAACGTAGAAGGCACCCCTGAATTAAAAACACTTACATGGCAGTGGCTGGAATTACTCTAAAACATGCCCAGTGATCTCACTGTAACATGGGATTTTCTCACCCAAATAGGCAACTCATGCTTCCTGAGTGTAATCAAAGCACGTGGTGTTTTCGGGCCATATGCGCCAGATTTTTATTTTAGAAACCTTCAGCTGTCTTGCTTATGTACCGTATGTAAATTTATTCTTTTTAAAATCACTTTTATTTGATTTTGACTTATTAAATGCTTTAAAAGCCAGTGTTCTGTTTCCTTGGATTTTTTTCTTAACGTAGACCTTTTTCTCTGAGTTCATTGGACCTGAGTTGAAAAGGGGACAAAAATAAGAGGCAGGCTACATAATTCTCTGTTTTTGTCATAATCCAATCATGTGCAAATGTTGGCGAGCCACGGAGGGCCCACAGGTGTGGTAACAGGAAAGAAGTGGCATGTTGGCATCCTTAAAGCCCCTCCTCTACTCCATGATACTAAAGAACCTCCTTTTACCTTATATGGAGTTAAATGTCACTATGTTTTGAAAGGTAAATTGTTTTAAGTTTTGCTAGTTAAGGTAAGTGAAAGGTTTTTAGAGATGAGTTCTCTATCAGCTGAACCAAATAAACACAACCATAATTCAAATTCACAGCCTATCACTGCAATGATCTGCTCTGCCTTTAAGCATCCCAAATTTGCTCTTTGCGATGGTTCTTACAGTTGACACTGCCCCTTATTTGCAAGGGTGGACCTAGGACTCTACTTGTACTTCGAGCAGGACATAGGAGATGTAACGCCCCATCCTATCCTGTGCGGTTTTCACAGGACAGAGAAGACACAGCGGCAGAGAATTACAATTCAAGAGCCAAATGGTTAAGGCTGTAGGGAAGAGAAAATGATGACATGGGAACTGGGAGGAGGGGGAGACTGCATGAGCAAGGTTTAGAGAACAGATGGGGTTTGCACAGGGAATGTGACAGGAAGTAGGTAGGAGATGGTACTCCATGGCTACACAACAGCTTGTCTGAGGCACTTCCCAAACACCTCCGGCTCTTACAAGAAAAAATCAAACCATGTTGGTGATTGTAAGACTAACAGTGGTGGTGGTGTAATAAAGGATGAGCACAGGGCTGTGACACTGCGAAATCAAACCACATGAACGAGAAGTGTGAGAAGCCCATCCCAGAGCGGGTGACGTCCAGAGGTAACTTCACAGACTCCTTTCATCACTCCTCATTGAAATACAGTTGCCCCGTGAACAACTCGGAGCTCAGGTGTGCCAACCTCCTATGTAGTAAAAATGCATATAACTTACGACTCCCCCAAAACTTAACGACTAATAGTCTGCCGTAAATGGGAAGCCTTTCTGATGGCACAAGCAGATTACCACATATCTCATATGTTATAAGCATTACACATTGTATTCTTACAGTAAAGTAAACTAGAGAAAAGAAAATGTTAAGAAAATCATAAGGAAAATACATTTACCCTTCATTAAGTGGAAGAGGATCATCACGAAAGTCTTCATCCTCATCATCTTCATGTTGAGGAGGCTGAGGAGGAGAAGAAAGAGGAAGAGAGGGGAGAGGAAGGGTTGTTCTGTGTCGGGGGTGGCAGAGGCAGGAGAAAATCCATATACCACTGAACGTGTACAGTTCAAACCCATCTTGTTCAAGGGTTAACTGTACTCACCAGTCAGCCTGAGCACCTTCCCCCTCTGCCATCTCTGCATGCACAGCGTCATTCTCATCCTTCTTGTTCCTCTCTTGGTGGACATGACCAACAGCTGGGACCTCCTTCTGTGTCCTTCATGCCCACTCCCTTCCTCAGTCTTCTCTTTGCTCAGTTCCCTGAACTCGTCATGTGAAACTTCATTTTAAAAATATTTTACCATGATCCTGGCTCTTCAGGGAACTTCAAAATGCTCCAAGTCTTTATTTAATGATTGTGAATGAAGCCCTCATCTTCTAGTAAGAGGCTACCCAAGAGCCAAGTGGAACAGCAATATACACCTATCTCATTTGAGACAAGAGATGTTTTCCTCAAAGCTGCTTGTGTTTTGATTTTTTTAACTTGAATTTTAACTGCACGTATGGGTTTGCCATTAAAATTCAAGTTAAAATTTTGATTCTTCATTTCTGTGAACATAAGACTTTAATAGGTGACTCTGTGCACACCATGCATCCATTTTTTTTCTTAAAATGAGACACACCTGTAGTACAGACTTGGATATTTACAGAGTGCACATTAAGAAGAATCACAGTTAAATTTGGGCCATGAAGAGAATGTTAAAGTCTTAAAACTGTAGCCACGTGAGACAGGGAGTCATACAAAACCAAAAATAGTAATTCTTTTTCCACATCTGTTTATAAGGCATGCAAAAACAAACAAGAAAAGTAAGGATGTAGCTAGGAGTTCCTCTGTAATGCTTCTTTAACGCACACCCTCAACACACTCTCTCTCTATGGCAAGCCAGATTCTGCCCAATGCAGGTGTTCAAATGTCAATTCCTCTTTAATATACACAAAGATGGCCTCAGATCATTGGGGGTGAGCCAGGGTGACAATTGGGTGCTGCCTTAATGCCCATGCCTGCAAGAGTCTTGTAATCTACCTGTATCCATAGAATAAACAGTCACATTTGTTGCTGGAAAGGTACTGAGAAAAAGCCGCACTGGAGATAGGTGGGATTAACTAGAGATTTTTTGGCGTGAGTCTTGGGCAGAACATTTAAACAAAGGAGCACTTGGGTGACACTGGGGCAGATGACACAAGATAGCCAGACAGAGGTGCCCCTTAAGCAAATCACGTAGGTGAGATGACTTGTGCAAAACACTAGGCACGACACCTGTCACGCGGAGGCCCGGACTGGGGTTTGTATTGAGGCATGGTGGAAATCTCTCTTTCATCTTCAGGATACTTCAGTGTCTTTTTATTAGTGGCTAACTAGGAAGGCTAAAATGATCTGTGTTTAGTGTGCACTGTGCATAATTGGCCCCACTCACAGTGGCACCCATCAGGTTTCCATGTAACAGAGACGCTGCAGACTGGAAGCCCAGGAGGCTTCACTCCTATCTGCACTCATGGATACAGGCAGATTAGGGAACTGTTGCAGACTGTCCCAGAGGTGTACTGCTGACTTGAATTTTATCATGCATGCCACTCTCTACTTTTTGAATGCAAGTTTTCAATAATGTGTTTTAGTTTGCTGGGACTGTCACAACAAAAGACTACAGGTTGGGTGGTTTCAATAAAAGAATTTTATTTCTCAGTTTTGGAGGCTGGAAGTCCAAGATCAAGGTGCCAGCAAAATAGGTTTCATTCTGATCCCTCTTTAAGCTTGCTAGTGGCCACCATGTTGCTGTGTGGTCACGTCACCTCTTCTGTATGTGTGCGCCAGGTAGGCAGAGAAACAGGGCAAGCTCTCTGATGTTTCTTATCAGGTCACTGAGCTGGTCATGAGGGCCCCCCTCTCATGACCTCATCTAGCTCTAATCACCTGCCAAAGGCCTCATCTCCAAAGACCATCACACTGGAGGTCAGACGGTCAACATGAATTTGTGGGGATACATTCAGTCCATAATAATATAAAAGTTATTCAAGGCCCTAATAACATTACAAGCCAGAAGTTGGATAGCATATTCTGCTTAAGGCAATGGTGTCCCTTGAAGGCTGTCTTTCTGCTTTTGGATAAAAGGGACAGAAGGGCCAAAGTCAATACTCAAGTATTAGGGTTAGTGATGTTACACAAAACATCAAGCACAAACAGATTAAGATTGAGAAGCAAGATTGTGAGCAATGTTCTCTCTCACCAAGCTGATAAGCCCATCATTGCTGAGAGCAAGGGCAGTGGTTAGGCTGGCTAGTTTGTAGTAGATTACTCCTGTTTAAAATGTGAGAATAGTCATTCAACATGTTTTACATTCAAAACACATCCTTTGACCTAGCGACTCCTACATCTAAGATGTAAGGTACTGGAATAATATATTGTTCAAGTACAAACGTCACATCAAAGAAATATCTAATGAACTCTATGCATCTCTGAATGTGTCTGTCAAAAGTAAATATTTATACAGTCTTGCACCTATTAGGACTGGTTTTCCTTGGGGCCCTAAGCCGTGCTATTTTGCAGGATGGGGGGTTCGTTGAAGCAGTGTTTATAATTTCAAACAGTTGGAAACGACTGAATGTCTACCAACAGGGGAATAATTGAACTATTATGGACATCTGTACAATAGAATATTACCTCATTTAAAAGAATGAGATAGGTCTATAGGCACTGACCTGAAAAAATGGGACATATTAAGTGAAATGTCATGAGAGATATATAAAACAAAAAACAAAACTTGTTGCAAACCAGTATGTAGAGCATGAACCCCCAAAAAATGGGAGCAGGTGTGTGTGGCTGACTGTACAAATCAAGGAAAATGTCCAAACTGAGGAAACAATACAGGCTAAATTGTTAACAGTGATTAGTTACTTTAGGGAATCAGAAGGAAGAAAGGTAGATTAGCTCAGGAAGACCATAGTTTGAACAGGTTTTTTAAAGTATTGGACTTAACAAGTTTTAACTTTTTGTTTTCCATTATTTTTATATTAAGTGTAGAAAGTCCCATTATTTACTTTTGCATAAATAAATAATGCAAATCAGTGAGTGGGCTGTAGACTCCAAGTCACTCTTTATATAGTGTCTCAAACTCATTTATTGGCTATGTGACTTCTAAGTAAGTTACTGATCTCTCTGAAACTCAACTGTTTTCACCCTACACATCAGGGAGAATTCCTACTCTCATACCATTATTAAACCAAAAAAATTAAAATGTGAAAAAAAAGCAATTCAAAAATAAAAACAGAAGAGCAGGCCAGGCGCCTGTAATCCCAGCACTTTGGGAGGCACCGGTGGGCAGATCGCCTAAAGTCAGAAGTTCGAGACCAGCCTAGTCAACATGGTGAAACCCTGTCTCTACTAAAAACACAAACATCATCCAGGCATGGTGGTGCACGCCTGCAGTCCCAGCTACTCGGGAAGGTGAGGCAGGAGAACACCTCCACCAGGAGGTGGAGGCTACAGTGAGCCAACATCGCCCCACTGCATTCCAGCCTGGGTGACAAAGCAAGACTCCATCTGAAAAAACAAACAAACAAAAACCAGAAGAGCACTGCAGGACTGTCAGGCTGTAGTAGTAGAATTTAAGTTTTCTCTAAGCTAGAACAAAAATCAATTCCATTTAATTTTCACTTTAATACTACAGCTCCCAGTTTTTACTAAGAAGGTGTGCATCTTCTGTAATAAAGGCTTTTGGCAGTACTCACAGACTGCCCTGGCTCCAGTTCAAATGCTTCACCAGGGACAAGCATAAGAAGATCTGGCTGCAGAGCCTCGACTCATGAGCTGAAGGTTCGCTTCTTCCAATTCGGCCGATGCTGTTTTTCTTCCTACCATTTCCTGCTTCCAAGGGCAGAAACGTCTACATGATGCATGGAGTTGATCTTTCCCCTTTCATGCTGGGATATACAATTATATACAATTAGGTATTAGTGGGTTTTTCATTACAAGTAATTTTGGCCACCCCTAAAAATATCCAGGTGGGTAGCTGCTGACAGAACAAATGGTTCCACCTACTTCAACCATGGCTATCATATGATGATCCCTAAGCCATGATTTTAACTAGAGCGAACCTGCAACTAAGAGAGAATATATCATTAATAGTTGTGGACCAGTGAGCCATCTTGAACAGAACTGCCAATTCTACAGTTCAGGCTATTTCTCTAGGCATTTATCAACTGGTGTTACGTAGTTAAAATTAGTAAAATACTACATGTTACATTACATTCTTTTTCTCCCAGCTTTACGAAGGTATAACCTACACCTGAAGTACATGTACCACCTCAATTAAGATAAAATTTCCATCACCCAACAAGTTTCCTCTTAACCCACTGCAGTCAGTTCTCTTTCCTGAGCTCCTGCCAACAAACCTGCTTTTGACTTTTTTAGACTCTTATGTAAATAGAATTAAGCAGTCTTTTGTGTCTCTTGCTTTCACTTAGTGTACTGTTTTGAAATTCATTCATGTTGTTTTGAGGATCAGTAGTTCATTCCTTCTTATTGCTGAGAAGTATTCCATAGTATGGATATACTGCAATTTGTAACTACTGTAAGTAACACTGTGAACACTTGCATAAAAATCTTTGGCCATATGGGTAAACCTAGGAATAGAATGGCTAGATGGTAGGTGTATGTTTCAAGAGACTGCCAAGCTATTTTCTAAAGTCACAATGTAACATTTTACATTGTGACTCACCAGCAGTGCGTGAAAAGTTCCACTTGCTCCAGGCTCAGCAATATTTGATTTATGAGTCTTAAATTTTAGCCATTTTAATGGGTATGCAGTTTATCATTGTGGATTTTATTTGCATTTCCCTGATGACTAATGACGTTGAGGATCTTTTCAAGTGCTCATTGGCCATTCATATATCTTCTTTGGGAAAATGTTTGTTCAACTCTTGCACGTTTTTAAAAAACGGTTGTTTTATTTTTATTATTAAGTTTTAAGAAATCCTTATGCATGCTGGATACAAGTCCTTTTGGCACGCATTATTTTTAGAGGGCATATTTCATTTTGAAAATGTTGTAAGGATCTGCTCACAACAGAGCTATGAAGGGTCAGATGGAAGTCTGTGTATTCACAAATCTTGCAAGTTAGACACTACTGCCCCAATTCAAGGTTGTAATATGGTGGGGTTTTCTCCTAGTAGATTCAGCAAAAGATCCATAAACATAATTCTTATTTCACTATCTTTGTTAGCTATATCTTTTTTTTTTTTTTTTTTTTTAAGACAGAATCTCACTCTGTCACCCAGGCTAGAGGGCAGTGGCACAATCTCAGCTCACTGTAACATCTACCTCCCGGTTCAAGAGATTTTCCTGACTCAGCCTCCCAAGTAGCTGGGACTGCAGGCCCACACCACCATGCCTGGCTAATTTTTGTATTTTTAGTAGAAATGGCGTTTTGTCATGTTGGTCAGGCTGATCTCGAACTATTGGCCTCAAGTGATCTGCCCACCTCAGTCTCCCAAAGTGCTAGGATTACAGGCATGAGCCACAGCGCACCCAGTCTTTGTTAGCTATTTCTACTGGGACTGTAAAGTATTATATTTTATCATATTTCTTATTACTTCAATAGTACCTGGGAACTTCTCTCAAACATTAGACCCAGCTTTTTTTCAGACATAGTACCTACTGGAGAATTCTAGATTGAAGTAAGAAAGGAAATTGGGATATAAAATAAGGAGGATTGGCTGAAGCTTAGCTTCAGAAAAAGAGAGGCCTAATATCTCCCTATAAGAGAGAAACTAGTAGCTCAATTAAGTATTTAAAACCATGATTTTATAACTGACTGATTACAGTAACACGTATGGCCTATGGCAAAAATAAGCTTCTCATTGTTTCTTAATGTTCATACTGCCTTGATATCAATACTTGTCCATTTTAACTCTTACAGCAGAACAGATCTTCGTTGCATGTACTCCATCTTAGAGTATCACAGATACAGTAAAAAATACCTGTGCACCCTCACAAATTTTGAATCCTTGTATTACAGAATCTTCTTTCACTTTAAACTGATCTCAGAAGCTATAATTGTTGGACCATAATTGATTCTTCAACGTTTTCTAAAAATATTGTTATTTTAGTGTTTCTCAATGATGAATACATGTCAAATGTAGAAAATCAAAGCTAAACCCCTCAGTTATCTCAAAGTCACGCAACATGAACTCTCATCAATTATCTTGTTTTATCAATAAAGAAAGAAATGGGATCTTGCTATGCAGGCGTAATCCGCTCCAATGTGATGCTCTGATGTCTAAGGAGCACATCTGCCTTTCAGAACAGATCCTGCACTCTGCCAGTGCATTTCTCTGGCACTCCACAAGGCTTTTACCCAACAATGCAGCTTCACACACAGACACATTCGTATATGGCACAAGCTGGTCTAATGCAGGGAAAGGGTGGTCTCTACCCACACAGCCAGACAGTGCTTTCTACTTTATTAAACATTAAAGCCCAAATAGACGTTCCCTGTGGAGGAAGACTAAAGGACACTAGGGGAGGAGAAAAGGATACTTGGGAAGAGAATCACACCACAGAGACCAGTCTTCACAAAAAGGGTCCAATATTGATTTCTAGCGAGGAGCAGGGCATCGTCAGCTCAAACTTGGTGATAACGTCAGGATGAAGGACCCCAAGTTTCCCAACACTTTGACCCCTGGCAAAGATCTCTGCACATCGCCCAGGGAAGAAAGCAGGCCCTGAAAAAGACAAAGTGAAAGAAAAATCAATGTTTCTTCTGGCAAAATGTCAACAGACATTTAACACTAAAAGCCCACTAGTCTACTTTAAAAATAACTATTCTTTAAACCACTGGCTATGAAAAGAGAACGCTTCCTCATACTTTCTAGTATTTAAAAGAAGGATTTGCTATCAAGAAACTCTTGCAAGGAAAAAATCAGGGGCAAATATGAAAATAAGGCCCCTGTAATTTTGGTAGCAGGGGCCCGAGTAGGAATGATGAAATCATGGAGGCTGCTGAAGGCCCACAGTCAGAAGTCCTAGGGGACCTCTGCCTGCACTTGGAACCAGTCCTAAAAAGGACAAAAGGCAAAAAATGAAACATAAAACTGATGAACTTGCATGGGAAGAACCTGTTTTCAAACAGGTTTTTCCATAGCAACGCTCACTGAATAAGACATCGACACTGAATTCATTTGCTCTGTACAAAGTCACTCTTTCTCACCTTATTACATAAAGAAACCGGAGCCACAGTATCACAGGCCGGCTACCGGGGGAACCACACCTCTGACGACAGGCCATGCTACCAAAGGCAACCCATATTCCTGTCTGAAAACAGCTTTCTAGGCAGTTTTGGAGCATCTACTCTAAAACCACAGCAAAGGTCAGCCCAACACAAGTCTGGGTTGATGCCTCGTTTACTTCAAGATAGGCAGAAAGTTCTCCCTTCCTCAGTGCCAATGCACTGATACAGCTTACCAAGACAGTAACAATTCTTGAGGTTTACAGAGCTAAAAATGAACATACAGGCCCACTCCATATTCATGAAATTACCAGTGCCACAGGAATCTATCAATGCTCTGTACTCTCCAGAGGTTTACAAATATGCCGACTCATTGCTCTCACCACCAACTTGAAAACAGATCAGGCCTGCAGCTCCTGACCAATTCAACAGAAACATTTACTGGCACACACTATAAATACCCATGCAGAGCTGGGCCACAGCGTCCAGCCTGCCACTTCAGAGTGAGTGCATTATTGATGAAAGAGTAAACTGCTGAGTCTCTACTAATGGTTCCAAGCTCAGCATGCTTAAGAGATACAGAATGAGGTTGGAGGGGAGGGGAACCCGCTACCATCAAGTTAGTACCATAGAGACAAAGGCAATTACATATATTTCTTGACCAGCAGAGAAGGATTTTGTTTATATTTCTGGGGAAAGAGCTGGAAAACATTCTAAACTGTCAACTTAAGTAAACCCAAAGCAACAGAGGTGAAATATTAAGGTGGCCTCTTTTTCACATCTCTCCAAACTAAACAATTCTGCCTCACTGTCTTTTAAAGCAAGAATTTCAGTGACTGCATTTAACTATCTGGCTCTATGCACTAATCCACACTTGGGGTGAGGGATAGGGAGGGAAACCAAATAAAACAATGCAGAAACCAAACCCAACTAATAACATAGAGTCTCAGTTTCATATGAATATTACTAAATCTGATAAAGATGGTACATTTTAATTCTATCAAAATAAATATCTAACTTAAAAGACAAAACTCTCCACCCCTCGACTCCCCAAAAGAAAAGAAAAATCTTCAAATGACATGTAAGTGAAGATTACATAAGGTGTTAATGGTAAGCAATATAATCAAGAACTGCAGAACTGGAAGGACTGCTGGGGACCATTTATCCCAGCACCCCAGCACCCCTTTACAGAGCTAGACTTGAATACAACCACACTAACTGAAAAAAGACACCAGCTTGCTGTGGTTCTTTTCAACTTTTATCTTATTAATAGATTCAAGGGGTACGTGTTCAGGTTTGTTACCTGGGTATATTGTGTGATGCTGATGTTTAACACCAGCCTATTTTTAAGGGACACTCAGAAAGGCAATGTTCAAGATCTTCCCTGGTAACTTTACTGTGTTTAAGAATCCTCATTGTACCAAAATCAATTCTTTCATCTATCTTCAATTCCAATTTGACTGGTTTCATTTTTACTGAAGCATAAAACCAAACTATTTTAGAATCTAAGCCAGATGTGCTAGTTCTAGCAATGTTAGCAAAATAAAGCCTAAGAGATAAGAGCTTAGAATTTTTTACTTCATAAAACGACTTCTTGAATCAGCACTTTATTAGCAAAATTCAGTTATATTCTTCTTCAGCTGCCAGCTCTACCTCTCTCCAGAAGTTTGGATCAAACTTTGCTTTAGCTCATTAACCAGTTAGGTACTTGATCAGACAAAAATATTTCTGTCACTAAATATAATTTTCCCTCTTTCCAAAGAAAAGCAAAAAAGAACTAAAATTCACATTATGCTTTATTTAAAACATATCCAAGTATATGAGTATTCTACATAACATAAACATCAAAAGCTCTCACCTGGGCCCATAGACCCATCCAGGCCACTGCAGCATCTCAAACCACTCTGGAGTCAGAAGGCCTTCACAGTGGTCCAATGGAGCTGATAGCACATACAGGAGCCTGCTGCCCTCTTGTCCAATACTAATCATCCTCCCCTACCAACTCACACGTAAAAATGAAGCCTGCTGTCCTAGCATCCAACACAAATTATCCTTCCCTACCAACCCTCATGTAAAAATGAAGCCCAGTGATAAGATTTCGGTATAAACTCGACTTTGCTGAAAACTGCACGCTTTATATCTGACCTTGTGAAAAATGATAAAATGGCAAGTTAAAATTGTTATCACAGGTTAAACACGTGTGATTTTCTTATCGACTCCTCTTTTCAGCAAGGTTGAGGTTCTGTCCTCCTCATACACAAATTAAGAGGTATGCATACAAAAGGTCCTTCAAGTAGTCTATTGGTACAACAGAGAGAATCTAAAAAATGTGCCACTTGACGAGATATTACATGTAAACTAGAAATACTGAAGGAAAATATAATGTTACTAAAACACAAGCATTTCTTAGTGCTTTTGAAAACCTTTAAGGTTCAAACCAAACTTTGCAGGCAGAAGTGAATTGCTTCAAAGGACAGAAGAGAGAATAACTACGTCACTAAGAAAACAAGGGAGATATGGCCGACTTGGGCAACAATTAGGCCCTAGAGTTCAAAGATGAGAGCATCTCCACTGCTGGCAGAAAGGGGGTAGTTCACAATAACTCCGGTAGATTAATGTGATCATAGCACTCTAGCTAGGACTAATGCACCTTAAAACAGAGTATTTCCAGAAATAAAAACAGTCACATCTAAATGGAACAAAATATGAGTCTAGGCTGGTGAAAAATCAGACCTGGGTGGTAACCTTATAGCATCAACAAACAAAAACATATTTTTAGAGAAAGAGCAGCATGCTGTGTCTAGAAATATGAAGTTGCCAATTCAAAGAAAATCACATTGCTTTGTGAAATGTGAATTCTAAAATTCAAATTCTATAAAGTCCATTAGTTTTCTCTTACTGATGTTTCGAGATGCGTAGTACTACAATTTTCAATGTGAGCCCAACATGCTCCCAGCAAAAAGCCTCCCAAGCCCGCTTTTCTACCTACTTCCTTATACTGGTTAAACTCTCAGCTTTGCTGCTATCTGTCACAGTGAACGGCTTCCAACATAAAACAGATGTGGGGCAAATAGTGTTCTCTGTTGAAATACATGTGAAAGCCTGGACAAAAGAAACATCAGGTAAGCACAAATAAGAATTAAATTTCCAAAACTTAGTGGGGTGTTAGTAAGTCCCTTAATTAAAGCCTTTGTAGCATCTCCTAGAGGTCTGTAATTGTCTCTGTGCTCAAACGGCAGGACCACTCTGAGGACCTTGGGGGTAATTCCTGGGCCTGTAATCCAGCACAGCACCCAGTCTTTAGCACATTTTCTGGCTAATTGACCATCAAAGAGTTTGTAAGCTCCCTCTCTTGCTCATTGCTAAACACTTTTCACAGTTTCTTTTTGCCTCATTTTTTTTTTTTAAGAGTAGTATTATAGACCCAAAGTTTGGATAAGCTTTACACATAGAGTCATTCCTATAATTTTAGGGAGCATCGGAAGTAGAAGCTTAAGGTGGTAACTGAGTAGACCCCCTAATCTAAAAACATTAGAAGGCGTTATCAAGCACCTTCTTAATTAGAGTCTTAATTCCTGATCTTAATCCCCCTGCCACTGGCTATATTCAACTCATTCATTTGGTATTTTATTTGGCCCATCTGTAAAAAGTCATCTACTCATACAATTTTATTTTTCCCTTTTTTTACAGTACTAATACATGATGTGAGGCTCGAACCCACATATTGTACTGCTTGCAATCTGGTACTTAACCACCCAAAATTTCTGCAATAAAGAGATAAGAACAAAATATAAAGGGGGGGCAGGGAACACTGGAAAAGGAATGTCCATATGTCACATATGTCATGGCAAACAACAGAAACTATCATCATGAGTTTTAACTACATATAAGTCTCCAACTTCAGGGATGAAATAAAAAAATACACAATTATACAGATATTGTAAGCCACTGGGCCAACTGAATATACTGTAAATATGTTCTAAGTGACTAATTATGTACTATGGAGTGAAGGGAGGACTAATCATTTCACAGGCTGATTTGGGGGTTGGTATCTACCCAAGCCCTTCTCCTCCCAGAAAAGGGAAACAAACATCTCCAGTGTTCCATTCTGGGGTGAAATTGACAGGGTGGGTGACGTGGCAAAGTGTGGAATGAGACTGGAACCGTAATTTCCTACAGAGGAGGAAATTCCGCCTGGTTTCCCACTAGTTTTCTGAGAATGCAGTAACAGGAATTGTAGGACTCTGCCGCCAGCCCACCGACATCACCTTCCTTTTCTAAACAATGTTGACTTAAAGGAAGAGACAGCATGTAGAGACTATAAAACAAAACACACACTCATCCCACGTGAGCATGGTGTCATTCCCGAGGGTGGCTGTTGTCAAAGTTTTTGAACCAGCAGTATTTTGAAGGCACCAATGGATTTACACAAGGGAAGAGAACTCAAGGGAGAAAACAGTACAATGTAGGTAAGACATCAGCTTATAAAAGGAAAGA